TTAAAGAGTATCTTATGATCGTTGCCAAGAGCCAATCCTGCTTTGAGTCCGCGTTTAAGATACGATATCGTGGAATATGCCGAATAATGAAAGTCCTCTTGCAGATATCCGTTTATTAGCAGATGTCCTATGATAGCCTCTGCGGTTTCTCTCGTAAAGTTTGGCACGGGTATGTTAGATACTCGTAACGATGAAGCACCTTTACTGTACCAAGAGTCCAAGAGTTTCACCGCAGTTAGTCGTGTTTCATTCTGCACGGCTTTAGTCATAATCTGATACAATTGTCTGCAATATCGTGTTATGTCAATTTCTTTTTTAACACTAGGCTTTCTGCAATGATCGCACATCTTGGCGCAATCGTTCTCCTTCCAAATTTCTTCAAAGTGAGTCGCTATTAAACTGCGTCTACAAGACGTTTGATCGAGGCAGTATGCCAACACTTTATACAAATTCTGTAGTCCGACTTTATCTTGAAATACCATAGTACTCAATTTCAATACATCTGCCAATCTGTAGAGCACAAGACACACCGATTTCTTGCCGTCTCTACCCGCTCGACCACTTTCCTGATAAAAGTTTTCCATCGACTTTGAAACGCAATGATGAATCACGAATCGCACATCGGGTTTGTCGATGCCTAATCCGAAAGCGATAGTCGCGACTACCGCTTGATACTTGCCCGACATCCATTTGGAGTAGACTTCCGATCGATAATCGGCTTCGAGCATCGCATGATAGCATCCGACTTTGATACCTCTGTTTCTCAAGTCCGTCGTTAATTGCTCCGCATCTTTAATCGTAGTTGTGTAAATTATACCCGATTTGCCGCTAAATCGATTCTTCAACAAATTTTCTATCATCGCGAGGCATGTTTCCTTGTCCGCTGGCTTGCGACGAACCTCGTAGTACAAATTGGGTCTGTTGAACGAAGCTCGTAAAACCAGGCAACCACTAATGTCTAGCATTTTCTGCACATCTACGATGATCTTGGCCGGGGCTGTTGCCGTGAGACCTAGAATCGGTATTCCTGGAAACATGGATTTGAGTATTCCTAAGAATTTGTAATCTGGCCTGAAATCATGACCCCATTGACTGCAACAATGTACTTCATCTATCGCAAAACGATCCAGATGTCCCAACTCGTACGCTTTCTGTAACTTATTCATGAAGCGCGTGGACTTGGCCATATATTCCGGCGTTACATAAATCAATTTGAGAGATGAATTTTTATCCACGAGGGTCGTCATAACCGATTTGACACTCTCCTTGTCGGCCTTTGCGCACAATATATTGGCTTTTACATCGAGTTTACGTAATCCATACAACTGATCCTCCATCAAGGATATCAATGGTGAGATTACTATCGTTATACCTTCGCTGATCACAGCCGGCAACTGATAACATAAACTTTTACCACCACCTGTAGGCATAATCAATATAACATCTTCCTTCGACATGATCGCATTCATAGTCGGTAATTGTAACTCTCGTAATTCTTCTATCTTAAATACATCCTTTAACGTTTTCACGAGTTTCGTGGACCAAGGGAAATCTCGATTGCTCCAATTTTTCTTGGACAGAGAAAAACTTTTCTTCAAGAGAGCATCGTCGCGCAATTTCTCTTTGCGTTGCGTCAATATTTCCTTGCGATCTTGCAACTTCTGCAGTTCGTTCTCTATTTGTCGTAGCTCATACTCAATAGCAGCTATCTCATCATCCTCCGTTACTGAAATTTATCGAAGATTATAACACAAATATACGAGCGTTGAAATGTATATACGTCTAATTAGCGTAACGTCATATCGATCAAAAAAACGTAGTTTAAACGAGTGACTCTAACGTATGCCACGTGATAGAAAGCGGTGCGACCGCGCCAAGTCTCGGTGAACATTTAGATTGAAATCAGTTAACGCTTCTGTGACATGGAGTTCGACAACGTGTAGAAGAGTAGAGTAGAGAAAAAAGGAAGAGAGGAAGGAGAAAGAAGTATGGTTCTTCAACAATTTCATATCCAACTAACCTTGATACTCGTCCATCGCGATCATATCTTTCGTATCGCTTTCACGAGACATCGCACATTCGATCAGATCCGATCAGATCTTTCTCGTTAAATATCAAGTCGACATATCGCGGAGATAACGCTCATTCGTATAATCCGAACCGAGATACGTTTCTATATCTTTACCTTTCGCTCGATTCTACCTGTACACATTACGCATTATTACGTACGGTATACCGAGCACCGCCCGATCCACCGTTGCTCGTGTACTTTTTATATCGCCTGTCCCTCTTACTACGAGATATCTGACGCCGATGCACCGACGCGACCGACAGCGAATTACAAAGCTGCGCTCCGTTTTACGTTAGAGGCACTCGTGGAAAGGATCGTTTCATCTTTGTTGTTCGCGAAATGTTAGGTTAAACAAGGACAAACGATGCTCACGAGCGCTCTGAGCGCGTGAATTAGAACGGAGTTCAAAATAAGCTTGTATACGAGATAATTGGCTGTTTCTCTCGAGCGCTGTTCTCCAGTTTATCGTTACTTTTCTTCCACGATATCTTCTTGGTACATACGTCATCAGGCAAGTAGCGAGGAACGATAAGTTTTGTGCGTACAAGATAAATAAAGCAAAATTTTAAGCTTTCGTCATCATGTTTCGTCAAGTTGCACTACGCGCGTGTCCAACATGGCTCGAAAATAAATTCACATCTATCTATTTTAGGGGTACGTGTCACATATTTTGGCGTCTTGTATCGCTTCCGCGACGCATCGTAGTTGTCACTATACCATTATCACTACAAACACCGCGTTTCGCGCCATATCGTTCAGTTTTAATTCGTCCACCTTCATCACTTCTTTTTCTACTTTATATTTTATCACACACACACACACACACACACACACACACACACACACACACACACACACACACACACACACACACACACACACACACTATTTAGTATATATATATATATATATATATATTATTAATTACGTCGACGAATCACGTTTGCGTACATACGAAAAATTATGTATCCGTATATAAATTATACATGTCTTTTCTTTCAATGTTTCAGCAAAGAGTATGTCTTCCAATGGTAGATCGCATAGTCAAAGCGTAACAATAGATCATTCCAACATGAAAGTACAAATATTACCAGCGCTTCAAGATAATTATATGTATCTGGTATGTGCTATCATCAATTTTAATATTCGTATAATCTCCGAGTCTTAATAACATGGACACAGATATAGTTCTTTATATGTAACTTCATTATTATCCAATACACAGGAAAATATATAAGAATATTTATATATTCATTAGACATAAAAATGTCGCTTGAATAAAATGTTTTATCGATATTCTTATCTTTCCACTTTTCTTCAATATTGTAAAATTTTTTTTTTTTTGAAACTGCAAGATCATCGACGAAGAGACAAAAGAGGCTGCCATCGTAGATCCCGTCGATCCAGAAGCCGTGGCTACAGCTGTCGAACAAAATAATGTCAAGCTAACAAAAGTTTTAACCACTCACCATCACTGGGATCACGCTGGAGGAAATGCCAAATTATTGAAAAACTTTTCCGATGTCATCGTATATGGTGGAGATGAGAGAATAGAAGCCATTAATCGTAAAATTACGCACAATGACACATTCAATATCGGTAGTCTCGCGGTCAAGTGTTTCGCGACACCTTGCCATACGCGTGGGCACATTTGTTACTATATTACAGGAACAGGAGAACATTCGCCATCCGTGTTTACAGGTAAAGATATATGATAGATCAACGATAAGGAAAAAAAATATTCAACTATTATATACAATATAACAAATCAAGATTTATCGTTCAAAAAGGAGATACGCTTTTCGCCGGAGGCTGCGGGAGATTTTTCGAGGGTACTGCGGATCAAATGTACAGGGCACTCGTCGAAATTCTAGGTTCTTTACCCGAAGAGACGGTGAGTTTCCAAAGTTTGTTTATCGAGTTAATTACAATTCATTATTTTTCAAGCGAGTCATTGTTACACTTTACAGAAGGTATATTGCGGACATGAATATACGGTCAATAATCTCAAATTCGGTTTACATGTGGAACCCGATAACATGGCAATTCAACAAAAATTGGATTGGGTATATATTCAACGCGCTAATAATCTTCCGACAGTGCCTAGCACTATTAAAGACGAAAAGCTGACAAACCCATTTATGAGAGTACACGAACCTTCCGTCATGAAACACACGCAGCAAGACGATCCTGTTCAGACAATGTCGTATCTAAGGTGTGAAAAGGATAGTTTTAAAGCTTAATCTTCGACAAAAATGTTTTTCTCTCAAATATTATCGATTATTTGTGAATTATCAATGTAATATAAATTTAAACAAAAAAGAGGTAGTATATCAATTCGAGTGGTCGAATGAAGTCATTATACACTTTGTAATAAATACAAGTGAATTTTCATCATTTATCATCGTATGTTATTATTTTCTATGTTAACTTTAATCTCGTCTTTAGATTTTTTTCTTTTTTTCTCATATAGATATCTATGCGATGTATGCATTTTTGTGATCAAGATGTTTGTCCGTTTTGTGTGGTGTGTGTGTATGTGTATATGTGCGCGTGCGTATTTGTGTTGAATTATAACCAGATATGTGAACGATTTATAAATACCTGTACATTCCTTTCCTCAAAAATGCAATTTATTATATCTTATCTATACAAAAATGCAATCATAAATTAATTTCCGTAATCAACACTCACTATTTTACATATTAAGTTACATTCAGTGGCATTTGACAGGGTGCATCTTCAGTCTTTTTATTATATATTTGCATTTCGGCGACATATTTTTCCTTGGATCGCTCATACATATCATAGTATACCTAGAACAATGCAAGGAAAAATGCATTTTCAATCGACAACAAAAAATATATCAAATTAACAGTTAAATCATAGTTAAATCTTACCTTTTTATCCTCAGAACTGAGAGATTTCCAAGTAGTCGCAAGTTGTCTGGTAAGTTCTTGCTTACTGGGTTCTGGTTCTCCAGCTAAACGTTCCATTACACGAGGTCTTTGTTCTTGACAAAATTGAAAGAAAGGATTAGCAGGTCTTTTCGGTGCATTTGGATCAGCTTTTGCACCTTTTCTCTTCGCTCCTTTCCTAGGTTTCTCCTCTTTAGCATTATGAGAGGTTCCCTTTCCTCCTTTTTCTGATTTCGAAGTCGCTTGGAACACACTGTTCTCTTCGAGTACACCCATCGGTGCCTCCCGCCAACGATCACCATGTCGATCCAATCGATCAATTAAAAATCTAGGAACGTTACAAACAACCTAACTATGTCGAAACTTAAAATCTCAACAATATAACCTATCACACTAACTTTTTCTCTTTCCGCGTGCGTCGAAGAAGCTTCCTTACTTTTTGAATTCTGTAGATCAGTCTTTCATTCTCCTATCGATTAGAAAATATCACATTGTTGTAAAATGGCTAATGATAATTAAAAATCTTTAAAGTCTTTAAAGATTTTATTATAGAAAAGAGATTTAACCTGTTGTAGGATTTCGCATCTCTCCAACAATAACTGATATTTCCTTTTGTAAACATCAAACTCTTCGGGTTCTACATCGTATTCGGATTCATCGGACATTGTAGGATCAAATTTATAACCAAACAAATATTACGGAGCACAAACAGCCGATACTACAAACGATATGTTCGTTACACCATCGCACACAAATTTATAGAAGACATGAGGTTTGTTCACAGTACTAGAGACACTAATCAGAGAATGGCCACGAAAAAGCAACTTTTGATTGGTCCGCCATCTTTTGACTATTCCCACTTATTTTCAAATAAATTAACTACATTAATCTTAAATTGTAATATAATATTTATAAAACTTTATTTTACATAATTATATATCCAATTTATTAATATATTTATTAATATATTTCCTTTAATATTAACGATTTTAAATTTATTACTATTTATTTTATTTTATTTTCTTTTTCCGCTATTTATCTTTTTCAACACAAAAGAAAAATTAATATAATACTATTATATCACTGTCACACTATAATATTTTTAACTTTTTGATATATAATTATCAAAACCTCTTCTGTGATCCTCTGTGAAATTAATACAATGACAACTATTCACAAAGTTAACGCAGCGAGAGAATCCAAAATTTTTTATTTAAAAATTCTTTATTTAACAATATTTTAATAAGATATCTTTTTATTAACTTTGCGCGGCTTTGCACTTTTTTAATGTAACTTTAAGCTTTGAAATGGGTTATTTTCATAAAAGAAATATTTAGTACAAAAAATATTACACTAAATAAATTCAAATTTATTACGAACTTTCTATATTTCGTAAAATTATTTAATATTTTATATAAAAAAGTAAAGAGAGGATTACCTTTCAAACAAAAATGCTTCCATGCTTTATTGGTCCACGATGATTGATCCGATCAATGCTGAGACAGAGATCATTGATCTGGATTAGTCTAGAGAAATTTAGAAAGTCTATTGATTACATATTCTTATAGCTTATCTCGAGAGCTTTCTTAAGCACTATAATAACGTTACGTTTCATTGAGTACTTTTTAAGTTATGGAGCTTGAAAGTTACAGTATCGCCGGCGTTATCCATTTACGCATGCGCCTTAATTGGCCGAATCAGTGATCGGTCTTGCCTTATAACACAACAAGTACTTAACGAAAAGTAATTTTATTACAGCGTTTTGGAAAGCTCTCGAGATAAGTTACAAGTTACAAGAATGTGTAATAAAAAATAGGGGTTTCCATTTAAAAAACATTAATGACGACTTGATTTTGACAAGGTCATTCAAAATCAAATCCACATTTCCATCATGTGTCTCCTTTCAAGCCATGCAACTTTCGTTCGAAAAATTTTTCCTTAAAATCAATTCGCGAGATAATCGATATCACTTGAAATGACATCCTGTATATAAACAGAATAGAATTGCAAGTAAAGAGTCAATTTATGAGGAAAATATTTATCGAAATGTGTGCACAGGAAGAATTCAATTCGAATAGTTTTTAAATTATTTTGCACGCCAATTTTAAATTCCACCCATAAGGAATCGGCGTGCAGTGTAGCACGCGTGCTGCTTGATTCATATGAAACAAAAACGAAATGGATTACTTTTTCGTGAAGCTTACATTATGAATTGAATCTATTTTTAAAGAGAATAGTGCAAAACTGTAAAAAAAATGGCATCACATAGAAAACGAAAATGTCGATTTTCACATGCTTATTAGGTAAAAAGTATTATTTATATTGACGATACAATTGCAAATAGGGGTTCAATTTAGGAGGAAACTATTTAACTAAATGTCTGCACAGGGAGAACACAATCAGATGAATAGTTTTTGAATTACCTTGCACGTCAACTTCAAACTCCACTCATAAGCGGTTGGCGTGCAAAGGAACGCTGCTTGTATTTGTAGTAGACAGTGCGTTGCCGGTCTATGATTTAGGCTGATCCCTGAAAAGTCGGAGAACCAGGAAGGTTGCAGGACAACTAAGTATTACCACTACGATTTGAAGTTCGACCATCGCTAGCAACATTTCGCGAAGTTCTGACTCGGTCTCGTTTGTTTCAACAGACAACAGATAATTTCTAGGACAGTCGGCTATTTCACAAACAAAAACGCGAACGCGATATTCACACGGCTTATAGTTAATATCACACGACAAAGAAAATCGAAATGTACAATGCCAACAAGGGCACCGCAAACACGAGGAATGCACGTGACAAAATGTTATTTTGCGGAACGTATAATGCCAGTAAAGGCACCGCGGGCGCGAAGGAATGTTCGAGACTAGAAAACGCTGAAACAAAGAGAAAACAGGAAAAAGAATACTGAGATGATCGCTCGCGAAAGAAGTGGATCGCCTGAAAACGCACGCTGCGTAGCCACGCGGAACGCTCTCGAATCGCAGAAGATCGCGAGCGACTGCCGCACGCCGAACGCTGATTAAAGATACAACGCAGACTGAAAAGATGCAACGCAGATGAGTATGAAACGCAACCCAGACGAGAATGAAACGCAACGCGGACATGGATAAAACAGAGCGCACACGAAAGAGAAACGCAGAGAGCGAGACGCGGAACTTTGACGATTGCATAGAACGCGGCTAAAACGCAAAATAAGACGGGACGGAGCAGAACAGACACGGACGCGAATGAAACGCACGCAGATCGGATAAGACATACCCTTGCGAGCGAGAGAGAATCACAGGGCCGCCGCGCGCGAGCGAGAGAGAAAAGCGACGGATCACACGCGAGCGAGAAGGAGGCAGCACATACGCGAGTGAGAAAAAGAGCGAGAACCAGCTGGTCACATGCGAGCGAGAGAGAAAAAACGGGCGCAATAGCGTCTCGCGCGCAGGCGAGAGAGGTGGAGGCGCACAGCGAGCAAGAGGGGCGAGCACCTGGTGCAACAGGCAGAACGCCGCACGTAGTCGCATGATACAGACATGATCGCGACACAGCATAGAACTCGGCACGTACGCGACACTCGACACTATACAGGGCGCGGTCATTCACTCGCCACGGACGACCGCGATGATATCTGGAATTTCTCTCTCTCTGCTAGACGTGTGGCGTCCGGTGGCAAGCACGAAGATTCGCGCTAAAGGCCGTTAGATGCAATGTGGCTGACGGGGAAGAAGACAGAAGTTACCATATTAATCGTGGTATGAGCGTCTGCTTCATCGGTGGACGGCGGGCGCATCAAACGGCGGAGCGGAAGTAGGTGGCAAGGGCGTCACATATTTATCTGAAACAAAGAAACCAAATGGATTATTCTTTGTAAGGTGTATGCCATTAATTGAACCTTTTTTTTTTTTTTTTAAAGCGAATAATGCTGAAATGTAAAAATGGTGATATATAGAAAATAAAAATATTCATTTTTGCATGTTGATTATGCATTGAAAAATATATATAAAATCAATATATGCAAATAGAAGCTCAATTTATGACAAAAAAGTATTTAACGAAATACTTGCAGGTAAAACTCAATCGGATAAATAGTTTTTGAATTATTTTGCACGTCAATTGTAAATTTTACCTATAAAGAGTCGAAGTGATTATATTGCCGCTTGTATTTATGCGAAGCAAAGTCACTAGTTAAATTTTATTAGCAAGTCATTAACTAGTTTTCTCCATCTAACCCTCACATAATTTTTATCCATCTAGATTCCACATAATCTTTCTCATCTAGATTCAACATAGTTTGTTCCATCTAGCGCTCATCAATTATCATTTTTTTTTCATCTAGGCTTTACAGTTTTTTTTCCATCTAGCCTCCACTTAGTTTTTTCTAGTTCTCATCTAGTTTTATTCATCTAGAATTATATAGCTTTTTCAATCTAAAATTTACCTAATTTTTCCCATTTAGCACACATTTAGTTTTTCCCATCTAGGCTTTACATAATTTTTTCATTTAGTCTTTTTCTAGTTTTTGTTATCTAGCCCCAACCTGGTTTTTCTCATTAGTTACTACGTAATTTTTCTCATCCAGTTTTCACATAGTTTCTTTTCCATTTTGTTCTACATTGTTTTTACATAGTTTTTCTAGCTCCGTTTGCATACTTGATGAGGCAGTAGCCTCATAAATATGTTTCGAGTATCGTGTGTACTTTTTTGTATATCGTGGGTAGTTAATTTTCAAATGTGTAAGAGTATTTGCTTTTAAACAATGCCTAGCGGTAGGGGGCAGACCATCTGCGAAGATGGGTTGGCGTGCGATGTGGGAAATTGCGGGTGCATCGTCGGCGGCGTATGATGCATGGGGTATAAGCGTGTATTAAATGAAATGATGATGTCACAGGACCCCGTTTTAATGATAAATGTCATGTCTTTATAATTGATACTGCTTTAAAAAATGACCTATCTTTTTAGAGCATGTGGTGGTTGGTTAACTTCTGCTGCTGTTGGATAGTAGTAGTGATAGTGGTTTTTTCTTTACTATTTGTTAATAGATAGGCTGATTTAAGTGGGGCGTTTGAGATTAATTTCTTTGT